GTGTGTAAGGGTACACAGTTGTAAAACATTTGTTAGCTATTTCATAAGAAGATAGAGACAATTACGAATTTTGACCAGGTACAAATTCAATTTTTATTTATCTATCAGGACTTGTCATGCATCACACCTTCACGTCTGTTCAAACTGTTGGTATTCACCCATATATACAAAGCTTCTGCGGTCAGTCTTTCTTTATACGAACCAAAACCTTTCAGAAGGACCTTAATCCTATCAAAGTCAAGTTTATTTCCCGTTTCCATCGAATTCAGTGCAGTCGCTGATCTGTTTTCTAGCTTCTTTAAGTTTGAAGAGGTCTTTGGAAGCACCTTTGGACATTGTTTATGCTCTTCCACTCTTATATTTACCTGTCTGGAAGTTTCTTCTACATATACACAGTCCCCACAATTGAGCTGGTACACACAATTCTGTTGGTTGTCTTCTTCTATTTTATCCTTAACCTTCATCAGTGATGAGCGTAAGCTGTGTGTGTTAGTCGCATGAAAATACACTCTTATGTCATGATTGTTATATATATAAACCTGTGTTATGTTTGTAAAAAATTATATTTGTAAAATCTCAGCGATATTGAAATGAGTAATTGCAACGTTTCCTACGTTTGGCAAACCGGTGGCCCGAACTTGTTCATGGAAGTTAATCGAAATTAACATAACAGAGGTTTATATATAAAAAGGACATCTCTTGTTTTTAAAAACCTTGACCAATCATAGGAGTCATGAAACAGTGAGTCGGTGGCACAGCGGTTAGGATTCTCGCCGACCATACACATGGTCCGGCGTTCGACCCCCTGCCGACGCACATCTGATATCTATGATCAGCCTGCTAAATTTGGGCTACCGATATCACATGCTGAAAATAACATACTTGTACCAAAAAATACTGTGTGGTTTCAAGCTATAATCAAAAAGAAGTATAATAAACAAACAAAATTCAATGAGCTGTGACCAAAATTTGACCTCAGACTTACAAATATCAGTCTACTTGAGTTCCTTCAAGTTTGCAGATACGCCTTGCTGACGAGTGCCAGCTAGCACGAAACCTAGGTCCCGGCAAGGCTTTCTGCCGACTGCCTCCAACCATCTAATAGTCTACTTTTGTTAAATACTATAAACAGAGTTTACTTTTCATCAGATTATGTTCAACTAAATTTTCATGGTCTTTGATAACTGAATACGGAAATTATATATGTGTAAATGCGATATACAATGGCGTGTGTGTATGTGTGTAAGGGTACACAGTTGTAAAACATTTGTTAGCTATTTCATAAGAAGATAGAGACAATTACGAATTTTGACCAGGTACAAATTCAATTTTTATTTATCTATCAGGACTTGTCATGCATCACACCTTCACGTCTGTTCAAACTGTTGGTATTCACCCATATATACAAAGCTTCTGCGGTCAGTCTTTCTTTATACGAACCAAAACCTTTCAGAAGGACCTTAATCCTATCAAAGTCAAGTTTATTTCCCGTTTCCATCGAATTCAGTGCAGTCGCTGATCTGTTTTCTAGCTTCTTTAAGTTTGAAGAGGTCTTTGGAAGCACCTTTGGACATTGTTTATGCTCTTCCACTCTTATATTTACCTGTCTGGAAGTTTCTTCTACATATACACAGTCCCCACAATTGAGCTGGTACACACAATTCTGTTGGTTGTCTTCTTCTATTTTATCCTTAACCTTCATCAGTGATGAGCGTAAGCTGTGTGTGTTAGTCGCATGAAAATACACTCTTATGTCATGATTGTTATATATATAAACCTGTGTTATGTTTGTAAAAAATTATATTTGTAAAATCTCAGCGATATTGAAATGAGTAATTGCAACGTTTTCTACGTTCGGCAAACTGGTTGTCCGAACTTCTTCAGGGAAATTAATGAAAATTAACATAACAGAGGTTTACCTATAAAAGGCACTTTTTTTGTTTTTTAAAAACTTTGTCCAATCATGATTCATAAAACAAGTATTAACAAGTATAATAAACAAAATTGTATGAGCTGTGATCAAAATTTGACCTCGGACTTACAAATATTGGTCTACCTTTGTTAAACACTTTAAACAGAGTGTGCATGCGTGTGTGTGTAAACAGTTGTAAAACATTTCTTAACATCTCCATAAGAAGATATAGACAGTCAGGAATTTGACCAAGTATTATTAATTAGTGATACATATCCATTTTTATTTATTAATCAGGATTTCCTATGCATCAGCTAACATCAAGCCTTCATGTCCGTTCAAACTGCTAGTATCTAGAATTTTATGATTAGACGTATTTTCAAAATTATGGTGTTTAGGATTAGAGTTTAGTAAACTGATGCATAGGAAATCCTGATTAATAAATAAAAGTGGATATTTATCACTAATTAATAATATTTGGTCAAATTCCTGACTGTCTATATCTTCTTATGGAGATGTTAAGAAATGTTCTACAACTGTTTACACACACACACATGCACACTCTGTTTAAAGTGTTTAACAAAGGTAGACCAATATTTGTAAGTCCGAGGTCAAATTTTGATCACAGCTCATACAATTTTGTTTATTATACTTGTTAATACTTGTTTTATGAATCATGATTGGACAAAGTTTTTAAAAACAAAAAATTTGCCTTTTATATATATAAAAACCTCTGTTATGTTAATTTTGATTAATTTCCCTGAGGAAGTTCGGACCAGATTGCCGAACGAAACGTTGGAATTACTCATTTCAATATCGCTGAGATTTTACAAATATATAATTTTTACTACATATGTCTACTTCTCACTCGGCGCTCAATTATATTTTAGAACTATTCTCTGTCAAATCTCGATCATAGTTCATTGGGAAAACTCGGCTGGTACGATAATACCTCTCTATTTGTCCGTTGTCTGTCTGTCTGCATTCAACATAGAACTTGGCACCGAAGTGCAGCAGTTCGAGTTGCCACGTTCCAAATAACACACAAAGGTAGACAGAAAAATGAGAGAAGAGAATCAATAGAGTTTTGACAAGTATAAGAGTGAAACAGAGTGAGTAATGGTAGAAAGGAATATGAAAGATTACACAAGAGACTGAATACATCTGCGTAAGCCATTGACAACGATTTTGAGCCATGTCACCTATTGTCTCCAGCCATTGATTCTTAGAGTCCCGAGGGTGGGCCCCAACCCGGAAGTCTGCATCTCCCTCCCCACCTGACTCAGTTTAACTGTCAGGGATTTCATGGATTGATTGATGCCATGTTTTTGTTTGGCCACCACTTACTCTTTTGTCCGTTGTACCTTCCGATTCACTGAGCCACGCAAATATCAAAAGACAAAGGCTGGCTGGCGTGTGACTGTTAGATATTGTACTGTGTAGTTTAAGAAACAAAACATGATATTTATACATTTTCTTAACCATAATAATGACGGCTCACAAAGCGTGAGAATGGATTGTTCTTATTGGCTGGAAATGGCTATTCTGATTGGTTGGCGATCAGACCAATAACAAGGTGAGACAAAAGACGATGAATTGATCTCACACATACTAAATCACAATATGTGTAAGAAATGATCGATTCATCACATAGTAGTTACTCCGTGCCGAGATAAATCCCACGATTCGTGAGAGAGGATAATATACTGTTTTATTCTGGGTCCTATCAAACATTTGCATCAGTTAGCATCACTATTTCAAAATATTTTGGGCCAAGTTAAACTTTAAGCACCACTAACTAATTACCAATGGAGTGCGACCGTACCTATATGACCTTGAAACACTCACTGAGCAAGTTAGTTAGTGAAACCTGACAAATAATTTTGTTATCGTCATCACTGAAATATATGCTCATCGAAGTGTTATGTTATTATTAAATGGGATGTCTGGGAAGTTTCATCTTAGGTTTGGGAAAGATTAAGTTATGCTTTAAGGCAAGGACAAGTTAGGGTTAGGTTAACCTAATAAAAGGCGATATTAGAGTTGATTCGAGTTAGATTACAGTTAGGCTTAGGGATATTTTCACGTTAGGGTTAGGCTCAGGAAAGATTAGGGTTATTGTCAGGGTAAGAAGACCTAGATAATTGCATGCATAGAATGTGGTTAAATTACTCCGTTGATATAAGAATAGAACTTGGGCACTGCAGTGGTAGAGTATAATTCCGTTGCGGATAAAATTTATTTTGATGGTGTTATACAGTAATATTAACTGATGACGTTTCGAGCCCAGTTTATTACTCAGTAAATATTACTGTATTACACTATGAAACTTTATCAAAATAAATTTTACCCACAGTGAAATTACACTCTCTATAGTTGGTTTGAAAGGGTTAGTTTTGTTTTTACGAGTTGATCACGGATTGATAACAGTTAGAGAACCATTGAAAACGAGCACTGGAGTACTGGACAGCTGCTGTTTCATCCTAGTTTTTGGGAATCATCGGCGGTACGCACCCACACTGTGCGGGGTTCGAACCCAGGACCTACCGGTTACAAGGCAAGCTGGCTTGTATACGAATTGGTAGAAGTTAGAATTCATGAGCCATTGAGTTGGGTCCCAGTGGCTGAATGGTATACGAGCTAGCTTGCCTTGTAACCGGAAGGTCCTGGTTTCGAACCTCACATAGTATCGGTGCATACTGTCGATGATTCCCCCAAAAAACTAGGATGAAACAGTTGTCCAGTACTCCAGTGCTCGTTTTGAGTGGTTCTCTAACTGATACCAATTCGTGATCAACTCGTAAAAATTACACTCTGTTGATAATCTAACCTTAAACTGAGAGCTGCTTTTATCATATGTGATGATAGGATGGTATCCCCTCTGATACCACTTTTCTACAGTTTTTATGCCTTTTTGCTCATAAATATATGTACTGCATATACAAAAATGCCGCCTTCACGTGATTGGCGCTTTCAAGGTCATTTGCTGATTGGTAGTTAGTGGTGCTTATTTTGATTATCCTCTCTCTCTCTCCATGTAATTTCCACACTAATATCGAACGGATTTCTTCTCTTTTTTATTTTACAGATATATTTGACTAGTCATGTAATGTGTGTGTGCATGTTTTTTTAAAATTTCACAATGAATACAAAAGACAAGTGTAACAAATTAACATCACTGAACTGTACTTGTGATATTTGTCAATGTTTCAATATCCCATTGGAAAATGAACAACTAGAATATGTCAATGAAAAGTATAAACTTAACGACAACGTAAAACTATGGAATCGATTTGAAGGCATTGTTAAATTCATTGGTCATGTTAATTTCACACATGATATGACAACCGTGTTTCTTATCGGTATTGAATTGAATTCACATAGTAAGTAGGAGGTATCATATCTGTTTTGTAGATTGTTTCTATCGTCTTTTTCGTGTATTCTCTTTTTGTGGTGAGAGCTGGCTGCTAGCCAAAGTTGGTAGACAGTAATTTACGTCAATGTTTATGTCCCCAATATTGGTGGTGAGAAAATGAGAACAAAGGCTTTGCGTAGGCGGATACAGTTAGCATATGGATGCTCTGACACAGCCACGAAGAGATGCAAGGTTAACTTTGTGTGAGAAACAAGCAATCAAAAGACTGTGTTTTTCTACTAACAATAATCTACAATAATGCCTACCGACAAATGGAAAGCCTATGCCCTGCAGTTTTTGATGGAGACATATGGATCTCCGAGCAGGATTCCGAGGCTTCTGCGCACTCGAGTGGCGTTCTGTCAGATCTGTCAGCGATGAGGCTGCTACTTGGAGGTCGGGAGAAAGCAGCATATGAAAGTGTGAGGCGAAATACCTACGAATGTGTGACAGGGTCAGGCAAACAGTTTCCAAAGTGGGAAGGACCACTTATGGTCACGTTCAGATGGGGTTACGCAGACACAATCGCAATAGCAAACAAAGAGAAACAGGTGAACATCAGCGAGCGCCGCGATTTCAGACAGCAAGACGAACGAACAAAGCCCTTAGAATTAAGAAGACCGAACCAACTTCAGTCGCAAGTCTTTGATGGGGGGACGAGTGTAGTGACAGCTGACCTCTAGCAAAAGTTGGTAGACAGTAATTGACGTCAATATTCACGTCCCCAACATTGGTCGTGAGAAAAATGAGAACAAAGGATTTACGTAGGCGGATACGGTTAGCATATGGGTGATCTGACACAGCCACAAAGAGAAGCAAGGTTAACTTTCTGTGAGAAACAACCAGTCAAAAGACTGTATTTTTGTACTAACAATAATGTACATTAAAATCTATAAATATGTGTTGATTTTCCTTAATAAACGATCTGTTGCCTGACTCTTGCCTTCTCCTCGTTACATTTCCACACACAGTTCCCAAAATCACATTGAATAATTATGATTTATATTGTGATCGAATGAAGCGGATACTTGTCCCACCATCATTCTGTACACGACTAGCTCCAGGACGACGTGGTCATCCACAGACAAAGGGATTACAAATGAATCCAAGTTATAATTTGATTAGAAGAAATCGTCAGTTGTATAAAACAATGTAAGGCTGTAAAAATAATGTCTGATTTGTTTATTAAAAATGACCATACAGAGATCCATTATTGTATCGAATGATATTCGAAACGCATAAAGGCGGTCGGTGATCAGAGGCGATGATAACCCCCAATCAGAAGCAGATACAAACAATCAGGTAAGCATGCTGTAGTAGTTGTATATGATATTAATCCTGTATTACTGTTGTAGTTAGCTGACTGGAGGTCATCAGCAGGAAGCCTTGGATCGCTGGTTGGTACTCTTCACCTCGCAATTGACCTCCTGTAGGACTATAGTGGATTCTTTGACTGTATGTAATCACTGTATTCATTACACTCTTACAGAAGGTCAATCACAAGGCCGACTTCGATAGTAGCACTGGATGACGTAGGGTCAAATCTCAGATGGGAGATGAATTCTTTCCAGATTTCAGATGTGCCTTGCTGACTGGTGTGTATATGCCAACAAAGACGAAATCTAGGTCTAAGGCTACTTGCTGACTGTCTGGAACTAATGAATAACAATTCTTAGTGCACACCGTGATGCTGAACCGCGTTGCAGATGTTACTGATAGAATTTAGTGTTCAGGAATTTTGAAAAATTGAAGTTTCGGTAGCAGTGGTATTTATTCTTATGGGATGGGTTTGTTAGCCTCATGCCCAACCTTCCCTCTTTACCAGTCTTATTAATGGCTTGGCGAGGTAAAGGAGTGCGTTGGTGGCTGGGGATCGAACTTCGAACCACTTGCGTGGTTGGCGAGCGCTGTGCCAACGACGCACTGTTATTCATACAGTTCTCTCTTGAATGTTAATTACATTGAGACACATGAACATGGGGTGACAACAAGAACATCTTCAGCGCATACTTCAATACTTGATGAAGTGAGCTTTTAGATTTCTCCACGAGTTCACACTATTAGTCATCTCTCCTGGTGACCACCTTGAACGTGACTCTTTGGTTGTTTTTGTGTGTTTTCACACCTGCCAGGCTACTTGTATTGGAACTGATTGTTTCCTTCACTTGAACTTTACCCTTTGTGGTTGTGTGAGATTTCCTTCCTATCGATTGGTAATTTTTTCTATCTCGATTTGTCAATTGATTGACGATTCACTGGAATACCAGACAGGCTTCTAAAAATTCTCTAGCCTTCTTGGTATTTCCTTTGTCTAATATTTGAAGTGATAGAACATGTTGACCACTTCACCTATTTGGGAAGTTGTATCAGCACCAACGGATTGATTGGTGACAAAATCTCAGCACGGATCCAAAAAGCTCGAGCTGCTTTCGCTAACTTACACCGTCTCTGGCGTAGGCGTGACATCCGGCTATCAACCAAGGGACGTGTATACTGCTCAGCAGTTCGCTCCGTCCTTCTCTATGGCGGTGAGACGTGACCATTGAGAGAGGAAGACATGAAGAGATTGTCTGTTTTTGACCACAGATGTTTACGATCTCTTTCTCGCGTTAGGTGGTATAATAAGGTAAGTAATGCTGACGTTAGGCGTAGAGTGTTGGGTAAAGAGGGAAAATCAATTGAAGAGGCTATAAAGTTACATAGATTGAGATGGCTAGGTCACGTGCTGCGCATGCCTAACCATCGCCTCCCCCGACGAACGGGCATTACTAGCTGATATAGGTGCAGGTTGGAAAAGAGTAAGTGGTGGCCAAACAAAAACATGGCCTCATCAATCCATGAAATCCTTGACAGTTAAACTGAGTCAGGTAGGGAGATGCAGACTTCCGGGTTGGGGCCCACCCTCGGGACTCTAAGAATCAATGGCTGGAGACAATAGGTGACATGGCTCAAAATCGTTGTCAATGGCTTACGCAGATGTATTCAGTCTCTTGTGTAATCTTTCATATTCCTTTCTACCATTACTCACTCTGTTTCACTCTTATACTTGTCAAAACTCTATTGATTCTCTTCTCTCATTTTTCTGTCTACCTTTGTGTGTTATTTGGAACGTGGCAACTCGAACTGCTGCACTTCGGTGCCAAGTTCTATGTTGAATCCAGCCAGCCAGCCAATATTTGAACGCTGGTTGTCCTAGTCAAATTGATGTCTGTGGTTGTCTGTATGCACTGAGGCGATATGAGGGAGTGGATGTCATCTCTTTTGACGGCTAGCTTATGATCATCGAAACGAAGACGAAGGGGATGTCCACTTTGGTCGATGTAGTGTTTTTCACAGTCGTTGCAATTTATTTTGTAGATGATGTTGGTTTTATCTTCCTTCGCTGTTGAGTCTTTTGGTTGACATAGAATTGAGTGAAGTGACTTTGTTGGTTTGTGTACAACGTCAATTCCTAAAGGTTTAAAGAGTCTTGCAGTGATTTCTGAGATGTCCTTTATATATGGTAGGGCGTTTTCCTTTGTGCAAGACTCTTCAAACCTTTAGGAGTTGACGTCATACACAAACCAACAGAATAACTTAACTCAGCCAGCCAGTCCTGTGTCAACCGAAAGACTGAACGACGAAAGAAGATAAAACCAACATGATCTACAAAATAAATTGCAACGACTGTGAAAAACACTACATCGACCAGAGTGGACGTCCCCTTCGTCTTCGTCTCGATGATCAAAAGCTAGTCGTCAAAAGAGATGACATCTACTCCCTCATATCGCCTCACTGCATGCAGACAACCACAGACATCAATTTGACTAGGACAACCAGCGTTCAAATATTAGACAAAGGAAATACCAAGAAGGCTAGAGAATCTTTAGAAGCCTGATATTTCAGTGAATCGTCAATCAATTGACAAATCGAGATAGAAAAAATTACCAATAGATAGGAAGGAAATCTCACTCAACCACAAAGGGTGAAAGTTCAAGTGAAGGAAATAATCAGTTCCAATACAAATAGCCTAGAGGGTGTAAAACACACGAAAACAACTAATCACGTTCAAGGTGGTCACCAGGAGAGATGACTAATAGTGTGAACTCGTGGAGAAATCTAAAAGCTGACTTCATCAAACTGAAGTATGCGCTGAAGATGTTGACTAGTAGGGCGATGAAAGCATCGCAAACAAACTGTCCGGCTCAGACGACACAATACATCAAAAACTCGTGTTGTAGTAGAATTAATACGCTTATAAACATCCAAATCTAATAAGAATAAAACACAAGAGGACTTCAGAAAAAGCAAGACAAATAAATTTAATATATGTGAACGACAATATAGAAGTAAATAACAATATTTTAAGGATTTCATCATGACCTGATATTGGTTAGAGAACGATTGGGAAACCTGAGAGTACTGGACAGCTATCTCGTCCTATTTTGGGTCTCTTCAGCAGTACGCACCCGCCTACTGTGGTTCGAACCCAGGACCTTCTGGTTACAAGGCGAGCTAGCTCGTAGACCATTGAGCCGCTGGGACCCGATTCAATGGCCACCGCATGAATTCTAACTTCTGGCAATTCACGATATAGTGCAACTGCTAGCCAATATCTTTGGTGGCGAGTATTTGTCCTCACATGTGGATGACAAGCTTTCGAGTATAAATTATTCCAGCGCATAGTCATATCACTTTTAGTCACACGGCTTCGCAGTTTGTCTTATATAAATATTTTCTCTCCCTTTCCTTCTCTACAAATTCCCTTTGTTGTATTTTGCCACTTTCCATATCTCCATTGTAGGTGGCGTTTTGTCATTCCGAATGTACGTGTGCAATGTTGAATCGATAAACAAAGCTGCAGTGATTAACCTCTTTGCCTCTCCACCTAACTTTATTACCTTTTACTTAATTCAATTTTAGATTTTCCCGTCGATTGATTGAACCGAAGCCCTCGGTTTCAGGTTGACATGTCGTCTCCTTGTGCAGATGCTTTGACAACATTGTCGAATTAATTAATATGACCTGTTACATAACAGATGGTGGCTGTCGTGGCCCACATGGTCTAGTGGATAATGCTTTGGCGTTTGAAACTGTCGGTACTGGGTTCGAACCGTCGCAGTGCATCCAGATGACGAGTCCCAAATAGGACGAAATGTGCGTTACCCTGGATTTCACGGCTAGTCACCATTCACCAACTAACATCTGTACTACTTTTTAATACTCTCATCCTGTTCTATCCACTCTATTGTGTGATTACATGCAAGTGAATGCAGTGCAGTGCAATGGCGCAGCCCTGTTTTTTCTAGGTTATTTATCTTACTTACCAGGGTCAATTATTCTAGATTTAGCTAAAAATGTTGTATTAGATGGTTGGAGGCAATCGGCAGGAAGCCTTGGACACCACCTAGGTTTCGCACTTGTTGGCACCGAAGATAGGACCACACACAGTACACTAGTTACTGACTAGTGTGCAATCAAAAATATCCAATACAGTCCTACAGGAGGTCAATCGCGAGCCTGAATAGCTGGCTCAGTGGCAACGTCTCTGTCTATAGTACTCACTGAGTGACGCCGGTTCGAGTCTCCTCAGAAGGGAGATGAGTTCCTTCAAGGTTGCAGATACATACATCTTGCTGGCTGGTGAGTGCCAACTAGTACGAGACCTAGGTGGTGTCCAAGGCTTCCTGTGGCCGATTGCCTCCAACCATTTAATACCAACAATTCACAGTGCACCGTGGTGGTGAGCCACCTAGTGGCATGGTGGCCACATTGCAAGCTTGACTGATAGAATTCAGTCTGCCCCGAAGATAGGACTAGACATATTACACTAGTGTGGAATGAAAAATGTTGTGTGTTCCACTAATCCAGTTGACCATTATCTACTAGTTTGATGGCCTATGTAATTTGTCAATTACACTAAGTTATCGTATACATTGTTCTGTTTTTTTCAGATGGACACAGGATACAACGTGAAATACATATAAACTAACATTATTATCATCATCTTATTTGCTTTCACAAACATCTTTCTTTCTCAATGGCTGAAAGGAACAATCTCACTTTCTGAAATTCATCTCATGGAAATGAAATAGCTATTATCATTACCAGTTTGTTTATTCTTGTCGAAATTGTAATAGTTAGTCATATTTGTTACAGAAATAAACTTTGATAAAATCTCTCCCCTATGACTTTTGATTCTAAACAGTCTCATTTAACTTTCGTTGATGAGTTAAATTCAGTGGGTAGAATTCGGAATTCATGGGCCATTGGATAGCGGGTCCCATTGGCTGAATGGCCCACAAGCTTTTCTATGATGTTTAATTGCATTATACATGTACTGATGGAGAGAATAAAGGACGCACTGTACGCACAGAATTCCGACCAGAACAAGCTGGATTCAGGAAAGGCAAATCATGTTCTGACCAAATTGCGACTCTACGCATCACCATCGAACAAAGCATGGAATGGCAATGAAACCTCTACCTCAACTTTATAGACTTTGAGGAGGCCTTCGATGGACAGCGTTGACCGCGAAGTAATTTGGAAACTACTCGAGTACTACGGCGTACCCCAAATATTCATCAACCTTATTCAACAGCTGTACGACAACGGCACATGTCAAGTGATCCACAACGGAAAACTCAGCGAGGCGTTTGGAGTAAACACAGGAGTCAGACAAGGGTGCTTATTATCACCAATGATATTGATTCCTAATTGTGGTGGACTGGATTATGCGTCAGACAGTGGGAAACGGGAAGACAGGGATATCCTGGACCGACGTGAAGAACCTAGAAGACCTGGATTTCGCGCGTGGATGATTTATATTTGATGTTACACACACTGGTCGAAGAAGCAACAAAGACAGGACTCCAGGTGAACATAGACAAGACGGAGGTTATGAAAATAACCAACCAACAACAACACCAGCAACATAAAGCGCCAATCCCCGTCAACCCGAGGGATTTGAAAGAGGTTACTTCATTCACTTATCTAGGGAGCATTGTCTCAACTACGGGAGGAACGGACGAGGATGTCAAATCGAGAATCGGGAAGGCGAGAAACACATTCATCAACCTTACAAAACCAATCTGGAAATCTTCGTCACTCAGCATCAACAATAAAATTCGGATTTTCAATACAAACGTCAAGTCAGTCAGTTCCTCCATACGGATCAGAAACTTGGCGGGTCACAGAGAATATTTCCAACAGCCTGTTGCAGACCTTTATCAACAGCTGTCTTCGTTCTATACTACTGAGGATCAGATGGCTGGAAAGAATCACCAACAAGAAACTATGGGAACAAACAAAACAAGAACCAATCGCCCAACAAATATGCAGGAGAAGGTGGAGATGGATTGGACACTCGCTGAGGAGGCCGTTGGGTGACATCGAGCGTCAGACCATTGCTCAAGTGGGACCCGAAAGGGAAGCGGCGAGTGGGACATCTAAGGATGACATGGAAGAGATCGTGTGAAGAGGAGTTGAAACAGTATGCACTAACATGGATGCAGGTGAAAAGTACAGCAGAAGACAGAAGCAAGTGGAGACGTGTAGTTGAAGCCCTATGTTCCACTAGGAACCCAAGGGTACAATAATAATAATAATGGACTTGACCGTAACTGACTTCAGTGACTCAGGGATCGACTTTTTACCAGGAAATAATCTCGTTGACTTAGAATATGCGAATGATATAGTCCTGCATTCTAGGTGAAGACGCAGACTTTTCTCAACACTTTGAGGAGCAGCAATCTCCGAATATTTTGTATGTGATTCACTCCTGTAAAATGTAAGATGATGCTACAGGACTGGACTATATTGCCTCCTAGCTTAGAGATAATGAGTGAAGTGGTAGAGCGTGTTGAATCTGGGGAGTCGCATCAGCCAACGCCAGCGGGGTGATCGTTGACGAAATCTCAGCACGGATACAGAAGGCTTGTTTGACATATGCCAACTCACTCCATATCTAGCTTAGTAGACGTGATATCCGGCTGGTTGTCGACCAAAGGGCGTGTGTACTGCTCAGAAGTCCGCTCCGTCCTCCCTTATCGCTATGGGTGAGACATAACCATTGAAAGAGGAATACATGAATAGGCCAACTAGCTGTCTTTGATCGTAGGTGTCTGCGTTCTATCTCAGGTGTTAGGTTGTGGTATAATAAGGTGAGCTATACTGAGGTTGAGCGTCGAGTGTTGCGCAAGGAGGGAAAATCAATTGATGTGGTTGTGAAACTACTCTAACTGAGGTGGTTGGGACATGTGTTACACAATCCTAGCCATCACCTTCTTCAACGGGCAATATTAGCTGACATAGGATGGATCAGGATGGAAACGAGCTAGCAAGTAGTGGTCGAGCGAAAACATGGCTTCATCAGTCAACGAAATCCATAACAATTGGTTTAAGCCAGTCACGTTGGGAAGTGTAGACTTCCTGAATGGTCGGGGTTCTCGGGATGGTAAGAACCAATGAAGGCTGAAGATAATTGGTGAAATGGCTGAACATCAGTGTAAATGGCTATCCTAAATGCATTTACTCTTTTCGACTTTTCTGTGCATAGTCCTACAATGAAACCACAACATCGTTTTGTACTTCCATTCACTTACATGACAATAATGAAAATGATGGTTCCTTGAGTGCTTTTGGTTTATTTCTCAAATGATATATAAAAAAATATCTAATAATAATAATACTAACAAGTTTTTAATGTTCATAAGTTTTTTTTCTGAAGTTACTGAAACAGGATAGGTAATAAATAAATAAATAAATAAATAAAGAACGGAGGAAGCGCATAATTAAGTTGAATAAAAAAACACACTTCATATTCAATGTGTTCAATGCATAAAATTGAAACTAGTGTGAAATATTTTCGTTGTTGTTGTCGCTATTATTGAAAATGAATCATTTAAACTACAGTTCAAAAGTGAGTACAAAAAATAGTGATTGGTTGGTTGGCTTGAATAGGATAGGATTGGATAGCGAAAACAAAAATAGTTTAATCAAACAAGAACATAAACATTGAAAATTGAACATATATATATATATGTATGTATATATAGATTTCAGTTAATATCAAACATTATGATTCTGTTTTAGTGATACTTGTTTAAGCTTGTTTAAATTTGATTCAAGCGCTTGAAAATCGAAATTGAATTTGGCTGAAATGAAGAAGTAAATTATACGAACAGTTAAAATAATAATTAACTAACTGTAGTGGAATGGCGGTAATCTTGAATAACAGAAAAATCTATAGCACAACCAAAGCATAGGCAAGCTAAGTTGAATATACAGGTGATATTACCCCTCATCCGTGTGACGTGTACTACTTATTAGGATTCACATAAGTAGTATAACTTTAGTGTCACTTGGAGAAATAATATAAAAGTTATTCAATGTTTGTTTTTCTGGGATCTGATTGATTTCATGTGAGATTAGGAATTGACTGACAACAGTTAGAGGAGCAATGAAAACCACCAGGGAGTACTGGACAGATGTTTCCGCCTAGTTTGGGTCCTTTCGGTAGTATGCACCCATTGACACTGTCACTAGGGGGTCAAACTCAGGAAATTCAAGTTACGAAACTAGGCCTATGGTCATTCAGGCACTGGGATAACATCCAGTGGCCAGCCCATGAATTATAACTTCTAACAGTCTGCTGGTGTCACAGTCGGCCAATGCTATCGGCGATTATCTAGCTCAAGAAAAAGAATCAGTAATATTGAGATATATCGATTATATGGAGGTTTTCATCATGAGCTGAGATCAGTTAGAGAACCACTGGAAAACCTGGGAGTACTGGATAGCTATTTCGTCCTAGTTTGGGACTCTTCACCAGTTAGCACCCACGCCACGGGGTTCAAACCCAGGAGCATCTGGCCACAAGGCGAGCTAGCTCGTAGACCATTGAGCCACTGGGACCCGATCCAATGGTCCTTGAATTCTAATTTCTGCCAATTCACGATATAGCGCGACCATTTTGCAATATCTTCTTCGATGAGTTACTGCTTCATCTTCAACCTGCTGTACCCTACTAGTCACGGCTTCCCACTAGAACCCCAGGTCACTGCCTAAATGGGACCGGTCACCAGTGAGCATCAGATTAATTCTCAAGTATTGGTTTTGCAGGGATCGGGTCCCAGTGGCTCAATGGTCTACGAGCTCGCCTTGTAACCAGAAGGTCCTGGGTTCGAACCCTGGTGGGTGCGTTCCACTAAGGAGTCCCAAACTAGGACGAACTAGCTGTCAAGTACTCCCAGGTTTTTCAGTGACTCTCTAACTGATGTCAGCTCATAATGAAATCCCCCATCCAATCAAACAGAATCCCTACGAAACCAATACTCGAACATATCGATTAGTTGTCAAAAAGGCATAATCAATAACATGTGTCTGGTATTTAGTGCTAAGTGAATTTCTATTGATGTGGTCAGTGGTCATATAGAAAGTTTGGCTGGCAGAATTTAGTCAGCAGTAATACTACAGTATGACATTAACCTCATACATTTATTCCCCTTTATGTGAATTTGAATAAAGCAAGAACAGCAGTCGTTTCTGCTGAATAAGAAGACGGTACCACCATTTATTTTGGCTGGCTTCTCATCAACTGCTGCTTACAGCCTAAATAAATTACTATTATTAAGTTCATGTACAGTAAAGTTTTTTTACATACTTGCAAATTTTACATGATGTCAGTTAACAGAAGGTTCTGGACTTAGTGAACACTGTTGAGAAAATTACTCTTATATAGTTCCTTCATAGGGGGTTCAAATTTAAACAAAGTAAATGTATGCATAGAATGGTAAAGGAGTTACGTAATAAAGATGGGAGGTGCATAAGATGATGAGTAACTAATAAATTAGGTAACAATGTACTGAGTTCAACTCAAATCGTAGAAACAAGGGACAAGCAAAATTACACTATATCAAAGGAGGGGTTGAGGTTTAAGCCAAAGATTACGTAATCAAACGAAAGGAGGACTAAAGACATTCAGCTACCAGGTGTGCAAGGAAAGACTGCTGATCACTGCTTCTTTCTGAACATATAAATCGAGTTTCAGGAGTTTGATAGAGATTGAACTTAATAATAACAATTTACGAGTTGATTGCGGACCGATATCAGTTAGAGAACCATTGAAAACTAGCACTGGAGTACTGGACAGCTGCTGTTTCATCCTAGTTTGGGGATCATCGGCAGTACGCACCCACTGGGATTCGAACCCAGGATCTTCTGGTTACAAGGCAAGCTCGTGTACCATTCAGCCACTGGGACCCGATTCAATGGCTCATGAATTCTATCTAACTTCTAGCAATTCGTGATTTAGCGCGACCCCAACCATTGTCGTTGGTGGGACATCCATCCACGCACGTGACATCTAATTGGACCTCACTGGTCACGACTTCTCACTAGAACTCCAGGAAACTCCATCCTGTATCAAGTCACTAGTGAGCATCAGATTAATTTTCTATAGTTTGGTTTGTAAGACTGTAAGTAGCAGCTGATGGGAAGCCAGCAAAATAAATGACGGTACCATATTATTCTGCATAAACCACTATTGTTCTTACTTTATTCAAATAAATGAAATTAGTTACTTCTTTGTGACCAGTCTGTGTATTTTAGAGTTGCTCTAGTAGAATATTTGCCAAGTATGCAAGTTTCCCTTTTTCGATTTCCCACCGATGAACTCCTCGACCTCCCGTAATCAATAGTTAGCCACCCAAAAGTAAGGGAAGGTGTGGTGTGAGGCTACGATCCCCATCTCCTGGAAACAATACCACTATTACAGAAACTTCAAATCTTGAAGTCCTAATTTTCACTCTGAAGATCAGTTAAGCCTGTTTATAAAGTCTCGTGTTAAAAAAAACAACAACAAAAAAAACTACTGTCTAACACTGTTAACCAAAAAGTCACCATCAGTGCAGTTCATATTATCATCGTTGTTAGCATAGAGGAAAAGCTATGAAAATCAGAAGGCATTTTTATCAGGTGTGTGGCATGCGTGTGTATGCATACGATGCAAGCGATTGACGTACCGTTAAATCTACTTTAAGTTATCGATAGGATTAAAACATACTCAGGGACACACCAGTGTGGCTCGGTATTATTTATTTCATTTCCTTGGTGTAGAGTTACGCGCAAGTATAGAAAAGTATTCAAATATAAATAAATAACTAAAAATGACCAGAAGAAGATTTCCGAATGAAATCAGGGGTTATGTCTTCTACCACATATTTTTATCAGGAGGGATGACTGTTAGCTCTAGTTAGGTTTGATGTTGTTTCTTGGGACGTATCGTTAATGTCATATATATATATATATATATATAGAACAATTCATAGGATGTATAGAACTTGGGAGGGGTGCTCAATTATAGGATTAGTAGGCAAATAGAATAAAAAGGTTACGCAACATCGTGATGTTCCTAATTGTTGTGGACTGGATTATGCGTCAGACAGTGGGAAACGAGAAGACAGGGATATCCTGGACCACCGACGTGAAGAACCTAGAAGACATGGATTTTGCGCTTGGATGACTTATGTTTGATGTCACACAAAATCGAAGACTTACAAGCGAAAACCGACAAACTGGTCGAAGAAGCAGCCAGAGAAGACAGGACTCCAGGTGAACATAGACAAGACGGAGGTTATGAAAATAACCAACCAACCAACAACAACACCAGCAACATAAAGCGCCAATCCCCGTCAACCCGAGGGATTTGAAAGAGGTTACTTCATTCACTTATCTAGGGAGCATTGTCTCAACTACGGGAGGAACGGACGAGGATGTCAAATCGAGAATCGGGAAGGCGAGAAACACATTCATCAACCTTACAAAACCAATCTGGAAATCTTCGTCACTCAGCATCAACAATAAAATTCGGATTTTCAATACAAACGTCAAGTCAGTCAGTTCCTCCATACGGATCAGAAACTTGGCGGGTCACAGAGAATATTTCCAACAGCCTGTTGCAGACCTTTATCAACAACTGTCTTCGCTCTATACTACTGAAGATCAGATGGCCGTAAAGAATCACCAACAAGAAGCTATGGGAACAAACAAAACAAGAACCAATCGTCCAACAAATATGCAGGAGAGGGTGGAGATGGATTGGACACTCCCGGAGGAGGCCTCCGCTGAGTGACATCGCGCGTCAGGCCATAGCTCGAGTGGAACCCGAAAGGGAAGCGGTGAATGGGACGTCCAAGGGTGACATGGAGGAGATCGTGTGAACAGGAGTTGAAACAGTATGCACTAACATGGATGCAGGTGAAAAGTACAGCAGAAGACAGAAGCAAGAGGATGCGTGGAGTTGAAGCCTTATGTTCTACTAGGAACCCAATAGAACAATAACATCGTGCGAAATTTGATAACATAGAATTTAAGGTTGCAAAACAGAACTAATTTAGAATGGCAAGTGGAAAGAGTGAAATTATACCGGGGACAATTCAAAATGAGAACAGTAATGATAATAATTGACGTAATAAAGGAAGTGTATACAAACTGAATAAACAAAACGAAAAATAGGCAGAGCCAAAATATTATTAGGGATTATCATACTTTAGCATTGACGGATTAAGACCATGAAAGTTGCAGGGGTTGAAAGAACTATTCCTGTATACAGAGATCTGACTTCTCTGTTTCAATGGCCAGCACTTCACCAATACAGATGAGTTAGATACGTAAGGATTTAGGCAAATCACTTTTAGCCTTGTAGATGACTTTAAAGAGTAATCATTATCGACCAAATGTCCAATGATCGCACTTCTTATTGCTCCATTCGCACCTCTTCGTAACCATACAGATTAGTGTTATTACACCCTCTTGCACAAAGCCTGAGTTGAATGACCGATATGCCTAGCTTCACCCGAGCGGGTGAGTTGATATACGCACATAGAGCTGGTCAACTACGGGCTCTTGTCCTTCAGATTATTAAACAGTAATGGCCGACTGGAAGACGCTATTCTCAACGATGCAACAGTGAGATCCTTCTTTTAATGATATCGGAAGCTAAGTCACCTTTGGATTCCAAGTGTCATGTACAGTATTTTCTTGGTTACAGACGTTAAGTCACATTTCATACGTTTTGCCTGTATATTTTTCTCTATAAAACGTGACGGAAATTCTCTGGGGATTAGGATTTTCCTTAGAAGATTTAACTCTTCCT